GTAGGCACTATTAAAACTAATTTAATTGGCATTTATTTATTCTTGCAACACTTTTTCAACACAATTCAAACAGATCAAATTTTCCACGAATTTCCAGCAATAGCTGATTTTTTTTCTAGAACGGAAAACAAACAAAATATTGCTGGCATATCAAAATTTTTTTAAATTCTCGGAAATAAATGATTTTGAATATTAAAAATGTGTATTCATATATTCCGAGAAAATTCATCTAAATAAATTGTATTTGTTTTTTTTTTTTTTTTTTTCAAGTTTATCAAAGTTTGTATTTTGCTGGAATATTTGAATTCGTAGAATATTAGAATGTTATTAAAAATTTTCTATTAAATTTGTAAATTCAATAGAAAAGCTCCCAGGAGTAGTGTTAGAATTTAATTTAAAGTTGGAAATGTAAATTTTTTTGATCGGTCATACATTTGTTAATATTTTTTTATTGGTAATTTTGAGAACAATTTTTTTGAAAAAAAAAAAATATTTAAAAAAAAATCCCTATTTATTTCTGAATCTTAGAAAATTTCTATAAAAAATCCTGTTTTTTCTGGATCTTAGAAAAATATTTTTAAAAAATCTCCGTTTATTTCTGGATCTTAGAAAAATATTTTTAAAGAATACCCTTTTATTTCTGGAACTTAGAAAAATATTTTTAAAAAATCCACGTTTATTTTTGAATCTTAGAAAAATATTTTTAAAAAGAAAGAAAAATAAGAAAAATATTTTTGAAAAAATACCCGTTTTATCCGGATCTTAGAAATTTTTTTTTTAAAAATCCCCGTTTATTTCTGGATCTTAGAAAAATATTTTTAAAGAATACCCGTTTATTTCTGAAACTTAGAAAAATACTTTTAAAAAATCAACGTTTATTTTTGAATCTTAGAAAAATATTTTTAAAAAGATAGAAAAATAAGAAAAATATTTTTGAAGAAATCCCCGTTTATTTCCGGATCTTAGAAAAATATTTTTAAAAGATCCCCGTTTGTTTCTGGATCTTAGAAAAATATTTTTAAAAAAATCCACGTTTATTTGTGGATCTTAGAAAAATATTTTTTCTGGATCTTAGAAAAATATTTTCAGAAAATCCGCGTTTATTTCGGGTTTTAGAAAAATATTTTTAAAAAATCCACAATTATTTCTGGATCTTAAAAAAATATTTCTAAAAAATCCACATTTATTTTTAAATATTTTTAAAATATCCCCATTTAATGCAGGACCTTAGAAAAATATTTTCAAAAAAAATCCCCCTTTAGTTTTGGATCTTAGAAAATTACTTTTAAAAAAGCCACTTTAATTTATGAATTTAAAAATGAAAAATTAAAAAAAAATTGAATGAATGCCTTTCTTAAAAAAAATATTTTCAAAAAATCGCCGTTTAATTCTAGATCTTAGAAAAGTATGTAAAAAAAATCCACATTTATTTTTAAATATTTTTAAAAAATCTCCGTTTAATTTTAACTTGGAAAAATATTTTTAAAAAAATTCCCCTTTAGTTTTGGATCTTAGAAAATTATTTAAAAAAAATCCCCGTTTATTTCTGGATCTTAGAAAAACATTTTTAAAACATTTTTTGGATCTTAGAAAAATATTTTCAGAAAATCCACGTTTATTTCGGGTTTTAGAAAAATATTTTTAAAAAAAATTCACAATTATTTCTGGATTTTAAAAAAATATTTCTAAAAAATCCACATTTATTTTTAAATATTTTTAAAAAATCCCCATTTAATGCTGGACCTTAGAAAAATATTTTCAAAAAAATCCCCCTTAGTTTTGGATCTTAGAAAATTATTTTTAAAAAATCCACTTTAATTTATGAATTTAAAAATGAAAAATTTAAAAAAAATTGAATGAATGAATTTAAAAAAAATCCTTTCTTAAAAAAATATTTTCAAAAAATCGCCGTTTAATTCTAGATCTTAGAAAAATCTCCGTTTAATTTTAACTTGGAAAAATATTTTTAAAAAAATTCCCCTTTAGTTTTGGATCTTAGAAAAATATTTTAAAAAAAATCCACGTTTATTTGTGGATCTTAGAAAAACATTTTTAAAACATTTTTTCTGGATCTTAGAAAAATATTTTCAGAAAATCCGCGTTTATTTCGGGTTTTAGAAAAATATTTTTAAAAAATCCACAATTATTTCTGGATTTTAAAAAAATATTTCTAAAGAATCCACATTTATTTTTAAATATTTTTAAAATATCCCCATTTAATGCTGGACCTTAGAAAAATATTTTCAAAAAAATCCCCCTTAGTTTTGGATCTTAGAAAATTATTTTTAAAAAATCCACTTTAATTTATGAATTTAAAAATGAAAAATTTAAAAAAAAATTGAATGAATGAATTTAAAAAAATCCTTTCTTAAAAAAAATATTTTCAAAAAATCGCCGTTTAATTCTAGATCTTAGAAAAATATGTAAAAAAAATCCACATTTATTTTTAAATATTTTTAAAAAATCTCCGTTTAATTTTAACTTGGAAAAATATTTTTAAAAAAATTCCCCTTTAGTTTTGGATCTTAGAAAAATATTTTAAAAAAAATCCACGTTTATTTGTGGATCTTAGAAAAACATTTTTAAAACATTTTTTCTGGATCTTAGAAAAATATTTTCAGAAAATCCGCGTTTATTTCGGGTTTTAGAAAAATATTTTTAAAAAATCCACAATTATTTCTGGATTTTAAAAAAATATTTCTAAAAAATCCACATTTATTTTTAAATATTTTTAAAATATCCCCATTTAATGCTGGACCTTAGAAAAATATTTTCAAAAAAATCCCCCTTAGTTTTGGATCTTAGAAAATTATTTTTAAAAAATCCACTTTAATTTATGAATTTAAAAATGAAAAATTTAAAAAAAATTGAATGAATGAATTTAAAAAAAATCCTTTCTTAAAAAAAATATTTTCAAAAAATCGCCGTTTAATTCTAGATCTTAGAAAAATCTCCGTTTAATTTTAACTTGGAAAAATATTTTTAAAAAAATTCCCCTTTAGTTTTGGATCTTAGAAAAATATTTTAAAAAAAATCCACGTTTATTTGTGGATCTTAGAAAAACATTTTTAAAACATTTTTTCTGGATCTTAGAAAAATATTTTCAGAAAATCCGCGTTTATTTCGGGTTTTAGAAAAATATTTTTAAAAAATCCACAATTATTTCTGGATTTTAAAAAAATATTTCTAAAAAATCCACATTTATTTTTAAATATTTTTAAAATATCCCCATTTAATGCTGGACCTTAGAAAAATATTTTCAAAAAAATCCCCCTTAGTTTTGGATCTTAGAAAATTATTTTTAAAAAATCCACTTTAATTTATGAATTTAAAAATGAAAAATTTAAAAAAAATTGAAAGAATGAATTTAAAAAAAATCCTTTCTTAAAAAAAATATTTTCAAAAAATCGCCGTTTAATTCTAGATCTTAGAAAAATATGTAAAAAAAATCCACATTTATTTTTAAATATTTTTAAAAAATCTCCGTTTAATTTTAACTTGGAAAAATATTTTTAAAAAAATTCCCCTTTAGTTTTGGATCTTAGAAAAATATTTTCAGAAAATCCACGTTTATTTCGGGTTTTAGAAAAATATTTTTAAAAAAAATTCACAATTATTTCTTGATCTTAAAAAAAATATTTCTAAAAAATCCACATTTATTTTTGGATCTTAGAAAAATATTTTTAAAAAATCCACGTTTATTTCTGGACCTTGGAAAAATATTTTTAAAAAAATTCCCCTTTAGTTTTGGATCTTAGGAATTTATTTTCAGAAAATCCACGTTTATTTCTGGGTCTTGGAAAAATATTTTTAAAAAATCCCTGTTTACTTGTGGATCATAGCAAAATATTTTTAAAAAATCCATATTTATTTTTGGATATTAGAAAAATATTTTTAAAAAAAATCCACATTTATTTTTAAATATTTTTAAAAAATCCCCGTTTAGTTCTGGGTCTTGGAAAAATATTTTCCTACAAAATTTCAGATTTATTCCTCGCTAGGTCCTTGAAAAAATTCCATGATAATTGGTCCTTAAACCCTGAGATTTTTTTTAGAAAATCCAGGATTATTACCTTACTAAGTCCTTGGAGCAAAATTTATTGAATACATTTAGGCTTGAATTTATTTTAATAGCAATTTGGCTCTTGAGAAAAATTCCCCACAAAATTTCAGATTTTTTCTCGGATTTGTAAGTCCTTGGAACAAATTTTGATTTTTCTATTCTCACTTCCCACTTTTTGCCTCCTCAGTAAATATGTCAATATTTGTTGCCTACATTTAGGCTTGAATTTATAAAAATGGCTCTTTGGTTCTTGGGAAAAATTCCTAAAAAAATTTTGATTTATTTCTCGCGAGGTCCTTGAAAAAAAAATCCAGGATATTTGGTCTGTTGATCCTTGAAAAATTTTTTTTCTAAAAAATCCAGGATTATTGCCTACCTAAGTCCTTGTAGCAAATTTATTGCCTACATTTAGGCTTGAATTTATTTTAATAGCAATTTGGCTCTTGGGAAAAGTTTCTACAAAATTTCAGATTTGTTTTCTCATTAGGTCCTTGAAAAAAAATCCAGGATATTTGGTCTGTTGGTCCTTGAGAATTTTTTTTATAAAAATCCAGGATTTTGATTTTTATATTCTCACCTCTCACTTTTTGTCACCTCAGCAAATATGCCAAAATGTGGTGCCTACTTTAAGGCTTTTTTAATAGAGTTTTGGTCACAGCCAATATTTTGATTTCAGGTTTTTTTTTCTTCTTCCTTTCTCCTCCCTTATTTTATAATCCAATTAGTTTGCCATTAAATGGAGACAAACGTAATTGGAAAATTTTGTTTTCAAATATTTTTTTCTTTTATTTTTCATTTTTTTTTATTCAACAGAACTTTGTCCAATTTCTTGCCAAAAAAAAATCCACCTTCCATCCAATTATGGCCAATAAAACTAATTGCTTTCTGGTCTCTTTTGTGTCTCTTTTTCTTTTTTTTTTCAGATTTTCTCCGCCATGTGAAGTCAGGCACAAAACTAGCTGTCACAGGTTGACCACCAAAGGAACACCAGAAGAAGAAAAAGAAAAAAACCATAGAACCTTCCATGGATGAGAAAAAAATTTAAAATTTAAAAAAATCCGAAAAAAATCGGAATCCACAACGGAGTTGAACCCATGTCTTTGATACCATAAACATGGATAGCCAACAGCAGCAACAGTTTTCCTTGGTTTCAGGCCTACCACCGCCGCCACCGGCCTCATCGTCAGCCTCCTCCTCCCTGGGCCAGGCTCAAATATGCACCACCGCCATGTCAAATGCCTTGAACTCCAGCGGGGAATATGTCAATGTACCCTCCTCCTATGTGACCATTGGCATGCTACCTCAACAGGGATCGGCGGCCAATGCCAATGTATCCATGGCCTCGAACATATCAACACCAAACTCATCAACATCGACCTTTAAGACCCCTCTGCTGCCCATGCCCACCCTGGAGGATATTGAGGTGGGTCTAATGGGTTCCCAGGCCAGCGGCATGCCTCAGGGTATTCTAAAATACCCGGCAACATCATCTTCAATACCGCCACAGGGTATAGGTCCTGGGCCGCCAAATGTGATTTCCTCCAGCGGCAATCCTCCACTTTCCCACATCCCCTCCCATGGCCCGGTGACAGGACACAACATGTCAATACCACCGCCACCCAGTAATATCAGCTTGGGTCCAAATGCACCAGCTCCACCACCACCCGCCGCATCCAGCTCCAGCCTGGTGGATGCCTCCACATGTGGTACGCTGAAAAGTTCTGCCAAACTGCAAACACCCGCCACTCTCTGTACCAGCACAACAGCAACAAGCGGCCTACCCGGACCCCCAATGGGTGGCGGCGGCGGCGCGGCCATTGCCGTGTCCAGCAGCAACAACATCAACACGCCCAGCAGCAGTACAGTGCCTTTGAATCTCCACAGCACCACTGCCAACTCGAGCAAGACCAGCAGCCGTAGCAATCTTCACCAACGACCACCCGCCTCACCGAAATGCTGTTCGTGTTTTGGCAGCAGCAACAGCAGCAGTTCCATGCAAAGGGGGCGGGGCAGCTCCAACAAATCCTCCTCATCGATGTCCATGAAATCCAATGCGGGTCACACATACACGCATAAATCGAACTCCAAGGGCCACAGGCGGCACAATGTGCAGACATTCTGGTCAGCCCTGCTAACGAATTTGGGTATCTGTGCTCTCTTGCTGGCCTACACATTACTGGGTAAGTAGTGAAGACCACCCCACCCCCCGCCGAACCTCAAGGGGTCCTCAAAACAACAACAAATATAGATAAATAATGGCTTTCAAAAAAACAATGAATAACTTCACTCGCCACAAAATAAATTTCCTGAGAAAGGGGGAAGAGGGGGAAAAATAGAGAGAAATGAGAGGAGGAAGAAAAACAAAAGATATTTCCCCACACTTTTCCATTAACGGAAAATTTGTCCTTTTCTTCCTTTACCCCCCCCCCCCCCCCCCCCACCTCCCTCTTCCACAAAATTTAATTAACAACAAACAAATTGAACAAACAATAAAAAGCCATTATTTAAAGCATACTTTCAGGGTCACACACACACAATTTGAGACAACAACACTTGAAGTCTTTTCTCTCAGAAATCTTTTGGCCATTAAATAAATAATTAAAAGAGCAAGCGAATATTTCAGCAACCTGCCAAAGGCCTACTCACCTACAGTTATTTGTTTTTTATATTTGAAGCATACTTTTAGGCTGACAAACACTTAATGAAGGAATAACAAAGCGTGGAAAAGGGTTTTGTGATTGGAAAACTTTGGGGAAATTAAAGGCAAACTTTTGAATACTTTAAAATAAGTCAAGCTATTAGAAGGGTGAAAATTTAAAAGAAAATTAAAGCATACTTTTGGGAAAATATTATTTTATAGAAATTTAAGGAATACGTTGGTCGGTCTTTGGGATTGATGTGTTAAAATTCTTGATTTTGGATCTCCAGATCTATAAAAAATCTTTATTTATTGCTGCCTAGATCCTTGAAAAACTTCCCGAAAAATCAACCTTGGTCGGACTTCTGATCCTTGAGAAAATTTTCTAAAAATCCACGATTTTGGATATCCAGGTCCATAAAAAAATCCATTTTTATTTCTCTCTAGATCCCGGAAAAACTTACCTAAATATAAACCTTGGTCGGGCTTTTTGATCCTGGAGGTTCAGGTTTTGATCCTTGAGAAAATTTTCTTAAAATCCATACTTTTGGATCTCCAGGTCTATAATAAATCCTTACTTATTGCTCTCTAGATCCTTGAAAAAATTACCTAAAGAAAAATTCCTTTCTCCTTACCTTGAGAAAAATTCCTTAAAAATCCATGGTTTAGGATATCCAGTTCCATAATAAATCCATGTTTATTGCTCTCTAGATCCTTTAGAAAATTCCTTAAAAATAAACGTTGATCGGCCTTTTGATTCTTAAGGTCTAAGTTTTAGTCCTTGAAAATAAATTTTAAAATCCATGATTTAGGATCTACAAGTCCGTAATAAATCCTTATTTATTGCTCTCTAGATCTTTTTGGAAAATTCCCTAAAAATCAACGTTGGTCGGACTTTTGATCCTTGAGGTCCAGGTTTTTGTCCTTGAGGAAAATTCCTTAAAATCCACGATTTTGGATCTCCAGGTCCATAAAAAATCCATTTTTTTCCATCCTTGAAAAACTTACCTAAAAATAAACCTTGGTTGGGCTTTTGGTCCTTGAGGTCCACAATTTTGTCATGGAGAAAATTTTCTAAAAATCCACGATTTTGGATCTCCAGATCCATTTTAAAATCCATTTTTATTGCTCTCTAGATCTTTGATAAACTTCCCGAAAAATCTACCTTGATCGGCCTTTTGATCCTTAAGGTGTAGCCTTTACTCCTTAAGAAAAATTATTTAAATCCATGATTTAGGATCTCCAGGCCTACAAAAACTCCAGGTCCATAAAAACCACCATATTTAGTGTTCTATGGATCATTGGAAAACTTCCAAAAATATGCACGTTGGTCGGCCTTGATCCTTGAGTTACAGGGTTTGGTCATTGAGAAAAATTCTTAATATCTATGATTTTGGATCTCCTGATCCATAAAAAAATTCATGTTTATTTCTTCTAGAAAAAATCTACCTTGGTCGTACTTCTGATCCTTGACGTCCAGGTTTTTGTCCATGAGAAAAATTTCTCGAAATCCTTGATTTTTCATCTCCAGGTCCGTAATAAATCTATGTTTATTGCTCTCTATAGCCTTTAGAAAATTCCCTAAAAATTATCGTTGGTCGGACTTTTGATCTTTGAGGTACTGGTTTTTGTCCTTGAAAAAAAAATGTCTTAAGATTCACGATTTTGGATCTCCAGGTCCATAAAAAATCCATGTTTTTTTTTTTTTTGGGCTCTAGATCCTTGAAAACCTTACCTAAAAATAAACATTGTTTGGGCTTTTGATCCTTAAGGTCCAAGTTTTTGTCCTTGAAAATAAATTTTAAAATCCATGATTTTGGATCTCCAGGTCCATAAGAAATTCTTACTTATTGCTCTCTAGATCTTTTAGAAAATTCCCTAAAAAATTATCCTTAGTCGGACTTTTGATCCTTGAGGTCCAGAATTTCGTCCTTGAGAAAATTTTCTAAAAATCCACGATTTTAGAATTTCTCGAAATCCATGATTTTCAATCTCCAGGTTCATAAAAAATCAATTTTTATCGCTCTCTATATCCTTTGGAAAATTCCCTAAAAATCAACCTTAGTCGGACTTTTGATCCCTAAGGTCCAGAATTTTTGTCCTTGAGGAAAATTTCTCGAAATCCATGATTTTGGATCTCCTGGCCTATAAAAAATCCATGTTTATTGCTCTCTAAATCTTCTAGAAAATTCCTTAAAAATCAACCTCGGTCGGCCTTTTGATACTTTAGATCCAGGTTTTTGTCATTGAGAAAATTTTCTAAAAATCCACGATTTTGGACCTCCAGGTTCATAAAAAAATCAATTTTTATCGCTCTCTATATCCTTTGGAAAATTCTCTAAAAATCAACCTTAGTCGGACTTTTGATCCTTGAGGTCCAGGTTTTGGTCCTTGAGAAAAATTCTTAAAATCCATGATTTTGGAGATCCAGGCCTATAAAAAATTCATGTTTATTGCTCTCTAGATCTTTTAGAAAATTCCCTAAAAATTAACCTTGGTCGGACTTCTGATGCTTGGGCCCAGGTTTTTGTCATTGAGAAAAATTTCTTAAAATCCATGATTTTCAATCTCCAGGCCCATAATAAATCCATGCTTATTGCTCTCTAGATCCTTTAGAAAATACCCTAAAAATCAACTTTGGTCGCGCTTTCGATCCTGGAGGTCCAGGTTTTGGTCCATGAGAAAAATTCCTTAAAAATCCAAGATTTTGGATCTCCAGGTCCATAATATATCCCTGTTTATTGCTCTCTAAATCTTCGAGAAAATCTCTTTTCCAGATTGGAAAAATTTCTAAAAATTCATTATTTTGGATCTCCAGGTCCATAAAAACATCCATTTTTATTGCTCTCTATATCCTTTAGAAAATTCTCTAAAAATCAACCTTGGTCGGACATTTGCTCCTTGAGGTCCAGGTCCTTTAAAAAATTCTCGAAATTCATGATTTTGGATCCCCAAAAAATCCATGTTTATTACTCTCTAGATCCTTCAGAAAATTCCCTAAAAATCAACCTTGGTCGGACTTTTGATCCTTGAGAAATATTCCTTAAAACATCCACCTTTGGATCTTCTGGTCCTTGAGAAAATGTATGTAGAAACATAAAGTATAATAATCCTTGAAAACTTATTCTTTAGAAACCAGGACGATTTCACCCAAAGTCCTTTAATTTTTTATCTTTTTAATAAAAAAAAAATAAAAAAATATTTCTTAAAAATCCTTGATTAGTGTTCATTAGGTCCTTGAGAACAATTACGTAAAATCTCCATGGTCCTTCAAAAAATATCTTAAAATTCCGCGTTTGGTGGTCTGTTTGTCTTTAAAAATCCTTAAAAATTCAGGATTATTGTTAACTAGGTCCTTTAAAAAAATGTCCCCTTTGGGGGTCCTTCAGAAAAATTCCTTTAAAATCCGAGATTATGCTTCTTTTGGTCCTTGATAATACTTCCTTTTAAAATATATATGTCCTTGAAAAAAATATTTAAAATCAGCTGTCGGTCCTTGAAAAAAAAAATTAAAAAATCTTCAATAAATCAACGTTAATTGGCATGTGTGTCCTTGAGAAAAATTGTCTAAGAACTCATGATTATTGATATCTTAATCCTTGAGAAAATTTTCTTAAAGGCCCAAAATTTTTAGTATAGGTCCTTAAGGAAAAATCCTTAGAAAATTCAAAAAAAAGAAAATAATTAAAATTTCTTTCCTTGGTCCCTGAGAAAAAAATCCCCAATTGCCAAAAAATCCACATTTGTTGGACTTTTGAACCTTGACACCCCCAGGTCGTCTCCAAATGTCCTGAAACTGGTCTAAAATCGTTATTTCGATAAGGCTCGTTTTGACCATATCATCTGATATGTACCCGCTGCAGCTGCAGTATGACTGAGGGTAAAAAATCATAAAAATTCCTTGAAAAATGTCCTGAAAGACATCCCTGAAAAATATCCTTGAAAAAGTGTTGTTAAAAAGAAGCCCTATAGTCCCTTGAAATAAAATTCTTCCAAAAAGCCCAAAAAACCCTTGAAAAAAATCCTTTCAAAAAGTCTAATTTCTCGGTCCTTAAAAAATTATATTTCCAGGTCCTTTAAACTATTCTTTCAAAATAATCAACATTTCTGCAATTTCGAGAACAATTTTTTCTATAGATCCTTAAGAAAAAAAATTCTTAAAAATCCAAGTTAATTGCTCTCTTGAAACAAAAATGAAATTTTCTATCCTTGGGGTTTGATCCTTGAAAATCCACGTTTGTTGGCCTTTGACAACCCTAGATCGACTCCAAATGTCCCGAAACGGGTCTAAAACCATTATTTCGATAAGGCATTTTGGCCATATCATCAGATATGTACCCTCTATCCATATGGGATAAAAGTCCCTTGAAAATGTCCTTAAAGAAACGTCATTCCTTGGTACTCATTCCTTGGACTTTTCTAAAAAAATATTCTTTCTAGTACCTTGAAAAAATATTTAAAAAATTCACGTCTCTATGAGTATTAAACTGTTAATGAGGGTGTAAACAATTTTTAAAAACATCCAAAAGAAATGTCCTTGAA